TATATATATATTAGTCCTCGATCGTTTGAGTATTAAAAATTATTGGAAAAATCTTGTTGAAAAATGCTAAGTGGTACGATCGCGTTTGTTTTAATATGTATAATTCAAAATATATACTTTCTGTTTACAAATTTTTAATGAATCTTCAAACAATTGAAAATTTATTATTATTTATATGATTGAAAAAAGTTCGAAGAACAAATGTCAGAATCGCGTGTCCAATGCAGTAGCACTTTTTGACACGAAATTTGAATAGGACAAAACACAATAACACTTATAAAAGTAATAAATGATTTAACGATTTCGGATTTTTATGCGCATAGTACATATGTTATTTTGTATGATGTAGATAAATACATAACAGGTACATAATACAGTGGTACTTATTTAAAAAAAGAAGATGAAAATGTTAAATTTCTACGAGGTGTGTATGTTGTTTCGTTTTCTTTTCTTCTCTATTCTTTCCTTCTTTCTTTCTCACTTACATACATGCACTCTCTCTCTCTCTCTCAAACGAAATAATTCTGTGGTAACGATTGATAAAAAAAAAATAAGAGACTTTTGACAAAAATGGGAAACAGGCGAAAGGGAAAAAACGAAAGTCCAAATTTTTTAAAGACAGCTCTCAATATTTGTTATACATGACGTTTCTCTTATAACGTTTGCGATTTTAAAAAGAGAGTTGAATGCACCGATTTCACGTGAGAAATCAACGACAGCGGCTTCGCAAACTTCTTGCCGCAAAAACGGCAATACATTCTGTCTCCTTTCACCCTGCAATAATTCTTCTCGTGTCTCCGAAGACTGTCGAGTCTCGAGAAGCTTTTGCCGCATTCCTCGCAGATCACAGTCTTTGCAGCCTTCTTTCGTTCCGCCAAATCGTAGCTGCTGGCAACGAACTCGAACAAAGTTTGCGGCTCCTCGTATTCGTTCTCCTGCTTCACGAACCAGTCGCTCAAGTCCGCTCGTTTTCCTGCGAAAAACGAACGACCCGCGTTAGCAAATACATTCGTGTTGAGTTCACTCGGTTGATCGTATAGATCGTGTAGGACAGTACACATGCATCGCACAAGAGATACAAATTTTGGCTACTGCTTCCAAAGCAATAGCCGCGGTAATATATAATTTCATAAATGCGCACGAAAACTTGTTCGTTCTTCTGCAATTCGTTCTACTGCAGGAAATACTGTGAAACACACCTTTCTCGTTTCCCCCTCATTCGCATTCATGCTTTATCCACATTCAAAGAATACCAGACAGAACGTGTTGTTGCAAAGCCAGATGTATTTATTAATCGAGCGTAACAAAATTGGAAAATATGTTTGCATACTTTCAATTAGCTTTAAATATGTTTATTCGATTCGTTTGGTTATAATGAAGTCTAGAATTTCTACTACATATAATTTCTAGCATAATTGTAATATTTGACGATAACGGACGATAGTATCATGTGTGTTTCATATACTTAGATTCCTGTGATCATCACGAAACAGATGTGAAAGACAGAATTTATTCG